TGTCCTCCCGTTGCTCAGCTGGGAAACGTCACTGAGTTTTCCTTTGGTTTGTTTCAGCCTCAGAGCGGTGCCCCATGTTCCCAGAGGGCGATCAAGTCGGGCCTGATGATCTCAGCTTTGTTACTGGAGAAGACGGCACCAGGTAACTGCAGCTTTGCCTCAGCTGCCCTCTGAGGTGGCTGTAGCCCTGGGGCTGCCCCTTGCCCCTGCTGCTCCCCGAGCTGCAGAGACCAGAGGGGATGTTCATCTTACTGGGAGGTGACAGGCGGGCGTTTGTACGCTCTGACCGCGCTGCGGTTCCTCTGCCCCCAGGTGAGCCGCTGCCTCCCCGGCGCCACGCTGCTGCCCGCGTTCGTGGGGCGGAAATGGCGCCGTGCTGGGGGAGGGCCGGCATGCTGATGGCATCGTCAGTTGAAAACTGGCTGGATTTAAGTACTTGGCATAAAATTTTGATGCGTAAGATTGCGCTTGCTTGAAGCCTTAAAGCTGTCACGGTGTGAGGGTTTTCGGTGACCGCTGCCTTTCTTTGGAGCAGATAGAGAATGGGCGTGGGGCCCCGAAGACCCGCCGGCTCGTGTCCCCGGGAAGAGGCGCATTTATTCACTGGAGCTTAGTCCAAGGCTGCTGTTCCTGGCTGTGTGCGCGCTCTGTTCTGGTAAATACCCTTGTGTGGTTCTTCTGCAGTTGTCTTAAAGGTCCTTTTGCCCCAGTCCCAGGTCTGAAGGCCTTACACTAAAGGTTACATTCCGGCTGGCTCTGAAAATATGGCCAAAAGGTGCCGGAGCCCCGTTTCCAGCTGTGCGTCCTGTGGTGTCATTGAAGTAACTGTGAATGTCCTCATTTTAAATGGTATGAACTGGTTCTGTGAAGCTGCTACGTCCTGCAGGCACGATGGAGCGGGAGTTGGGGTAAAATAGCTGGCACAGACGGTGTTTTCCTCAGTCCGTGGTCTGGACCAGCCGCACACGCTGCCAAACTCTTTGCCCCTGTGGGTTGCGTTTCGAGCTGCTACACTATGATGGAAGCTGAACCCCTGGTTAGTGACTGTAACCGATAGCTGTCCTCGTCTCGGCTGCCTGTACTGATGTTCATTGCTCTGTGAATGTCCCGCAGTGTAAGTGCTGTACGACTCATCGTTTAAACCTGTTTGCACTTTGTTAATAAAATGAATGTTAATCTGGTGTGAAGCTTGACAGGTTTGTGTGTCAAGAAGTGAAGTGGTAGAGACGGGCTGTCAGGGGCAGTAGTACGCCGCTGCCGAGCTCGCCTCGCTCTTGCTGTAACGCCTGGCTGCTTGTAGAAGAACTCTTTCCTGCCCTACACTTGTCACTTTTTCCCCCGAGTTGGTCAATGAAAACCACTTCACTCCATCTGGGAGTCTTAAAGCTATGTTTGTAGAAGCCAGACCAAATGCCTAAATCTCATCCATTTAAACAGGAATAGAGGAGGAGCCAACAGTTTTTACCCAAACGTGGTTTTGTGTATTTCCCAGCTCCCGGCAGGAGGTGCAGCCCAGAGCTGTCCTGTGCGCAGATGCGTGACTGGGGCCTGTGACAAGCTGCGTGCTGGGGTAGGGCCAGGGGCGTGTTTACTGCTGCGGGGGGCTGGATGTTGGGTATTGCACACAGCTCAAGCAGCAAGGGCTGCCTCTTCACCCCTCGCAGGTGCTTTACTCTCTGTAGGAGGCCCCCCAGGCTGAAGGCAGGTGTTGTGAGGAGCCCTGGGAGCTGTGCTGGAGGTGGAGCCCAGCCTTCGCCGGGCCAAGGAAGGAGCTGGTACCAGCAGGCTTTGCTTGCCTGCTGGAGAACTCCTTTACATCCAGCTGTTTTTTTAAACAACGGGGGGAAAGAGGCTTGGAAGACTGATCTGTCTAATGAACTTACACTGCACCCTCCCTGCCCCTTCCCCTTCTGGGGGAAGCACAGGGTGACCCCCAGGTACCCCCCAGGGCAAGGCTGCATGGCCCTGTTTTCTGTTACACACCACACAAGGGGAAGGGGCTTTCACCACAGTAAGACGTTCAAGCTGGAGGGTGGTTGCTGTCTTTGTTAACTCTTAAATAAACAGACCAGCTGAAGGGTGGTTTAAATTGCTGTTTTATTAAGATATTGGTAAAACTTCAACAGTTTTTCCTGTATAAACAGCTTTCATAAATAAAATACGGATGACTAATACATGGTTATAACTAAACTCAGATGTGAACTGTAGAACAAGATTGCAAAGGGAAAGTCCCACCACTTAACTGGTTAGCTTTAATTTATTCACTTCACAAAGAACACGTTCGTTTCATGAACAAGATAATACAGAAAGGTCAACAGGAGCACCCGGCGCAGCAACCGACCCCGCGCCCGGCTATCGGCACGAGTACTCGCGCGGGAGCAGAAGTACTGGGGGCGGTCTCGGCCAGCTTCCCCTGCTCTTGTTCCAAGGTGTCTTCCAGAGGGAAGGAGAGGAAAAAACCTAACAGAAGGCGATGGCGACACACAACGGTTGTACTAGACCCTAAGAGGTGGGGGTTATTTTTTTCTTTAGCTTTAATGCTGGCAAGTGTAGTGCGATCGCCTGATTAGCGAGGACTGGAAAAGGATACGAACATTTAAGTCAGAGGTTGCATTAATGCTTCATTATTACTTATTGCACATGATACAAGGGTAGAAAGTTTTGTTCCTGTTGCAAAGAGGATATGAATTAAAGAAAGATTGCCCTGAATTACAGGCATGAACAAAGCTGCAGTATCCCCTTCGATGGCTTTGTTTATGTGACTAGTGCCGAGTGAAGAAATTGTGCTAAAACAGCCCCTAATTTAGACCAATCTTTCTAATTTTTTTCTTCCTGCAGAACGTTGCCAGGGTCGGGAGGATTTAGTGAGGGGATAGTGGACCTGAACTACAGCAGCTGTGTCTATAAACACAGAACTCGTTATGCCTCATCTTATCTGCCCATAGGACAACGCGTTTCTCACTGACACACAGTGTTCCAAAAACAGAGCGGAGTTTCTATGACGATGTACCACTATAAATGTGGCGTAAGTTAAAGTCTGCTTTGACATTGTCCTTCGTCCGTGTTGCACTGCAATCTAAATCAAATGCTGAATGGTGTTAACTTGCAAGGACAATTGATGGCACTTCTAGGTAAAGAAAAGTTATATACATGCGTTTCCACCCACCTTTAGTGCAAATCGAAATGGGTTAACAGCTCCCTGGTCTGGTGCTATACTGCTCCCTGCAACGCAGACATTCCTCGCGGTTAAAGTGTACACAGGAAACCACCAGCGTGGGGACGGAGAGAGTCCTGCCAGTTCTCACAGTGAAGAGCTCACGAGCAAGCTTTGAGCAGCTTCAGACAAACGCCTGGAGCCCGGTTCTCAAAACCAACACCATTTAAGAAAGAAAAAAATATTAAAAAAAAAAAAAAAAAAATGTTTTCACTACCTACCTCCTAGTTCTGCAACCACGGTTAACACATCAACTGAAACTGATGCGGGGTGTGTTAACGCGGAAAAGGGATACTTCAGCTCTTTATTGGAAAGATTCGTTATACAAATTTCACCACCACTAAGATACACAATAAAAATACAAAACACAGGTCACAGACTGAATCTCAGTGTCAACAGTTAATAAATACAATTAGATACTTTTATATTAGCCTAATATTTTTACATTGTCACCAGATAGACAATCAAAGTACGAGATACAGAACACTTAGATACCGTTAGAGAGGGATTATTGCTTACGTTAGCAAGCAGCAAATAAGGGCACAGGATTCTGAACTGAAGAGAACTACTTCCTATCACCAGTGGCATTAAGAGAAACACTGCATTTCACAAAGCACTGCTTTTTTGTCTAGTGTGTAGAATCAAGAGCAGCATATATCAGACCAATAACCACTACTTTTAATATTATAGAACTTTAAAGGACTTACCTTACAAATGGTTCCTATCTACTCTATAAATATGCAGTTAGTGAAGAAATGAACACTTGCTATCTATACAATGGTTTTACCTGACCACACTGGAACTACGATGGTAGATTTTTTTTCTCCTAGCAAGATAAATGGTACGAGTCGCAGAATTATCATCATTTATGAATCCACACCTAAAAAGCTAGATCCTTCCCAAGACAGCGCACACGCAGTCCAGTGCTCTTCAACTGCTCCTGCAGACTGGGAAGAAGTTTTATCGTCCATAACGGGGTTTCGCTCTAATTAACTCACGCGAAGAATTGCACTTACACCGCCTTTCTCCCCGAAGCGCGACAGTCAGCTATGAGATGGACTTCCAATGCGTCATTATTACTGTGAATAATTTAAAACAAAGGCACCGCAGAGATGCCCCGGAGTTGCATATTTTACCGTTTCCTGGTTTCTCAAATTTCCCCAGTAAATCTGACTTGGAACATATGCTGCAGCTAAAGAGGACGTTGACAACAGCTAAGGCCTGGTAAGATGACAGATAAGAGCCAATGATCCCATAAGATTAAAAAAAAGTCTGTAAAAGATCAAAGGAATCTAAAGCCACACTCCAACTCCCAGTTACTCAACAAAGCCTCTTGCTGTTCATCAGATTGCTTTTAAAATAGTGCATCAAAGATAGAAGAGGAAATTGGCAGAATTCAAACCTTGCCATCTCGTTGTGTTGGATAATCTCCTGCCTACTTCATATTAAAATACTTTGCAAATTCTAGCTAAATATTAATACTGTTATTAAATTGTTACTGCTAAAATGATATGACTTGTACAAGAGACGCCTATGAAGACTGACTTTGTTCATACTCTTCCAAATGTCTCACTGTAACAAAAGGTGGTAACGGGGTGTGCGTTTAGTGGAGCTGTTGGGAGTCGTCTGCTTACTCACGTCGCAACTAACCGCTCCCCTAAGGGTTTGACATCAGCTCGAGAGGGGGGAAGAGCTGGTGGGGACTGTTTCCCAGTTGGATAAACAACGCTCTGCTGAGGAAAAGAAGGGCGACTGACATTCCTCACTCCCCTCTCCGAGCCCAGGCTTAACCGAAGCAGAGCTGCGGCTTGCCAGGGAGTTTCACCCTCTCCACTAAGCCCCAAGCGCAGCCCCTGCTCATCCGCACCCACGGCGTTTCCGTCTGCTTTGGACGGCTCCGTCCGCCCGGCCCCCGTTGCTACACGTGCCGGAAAACCCCAAATTGCAGCAGTAACTAACGCTCCTTGTAGGCACAACATCCCACCGTCCTTCCTGCTGCAACTCTGTATTAAGTTATGCCTTTGCCATCTAGGAATCGTTACCAAACCCAAACAGCTCATCAAGTTGCTCATTATCTCTCGCAAGCAGTTCTCTGGTTTGACTGGTTGAGTGACAGCAGCGTTGTACTGAACGTCTCCGCAGACTGGTTTCTTTTACGACCTGAGATGAAGTTACGGTGGGAAGAGGTTGGCTCCAAGCATTAAGCACAATCATGTTCAATTGAAACTAAGTGAGAACATTTTCCTAAACTGACAAACAAGAGAAATGCCACTAAAAGCACCAGAAAGATACGAAATCCCCTACACTGCACCTCTAGCCATAGGAAATAATTTTTTAAAAACTACAAAAAGAGTTTTCTTCATATTCCACATTTTATGTTACATGAAAAAAATAGGTAAATTATGAGTCTGTAGCTCAATTGGAGTCTGAGAACAGAGTGGCAGGAGCTTAGTTTGTCCATTCCTAAGTTACCTGGTAAAACCCTGTATGGCTTTTAGTCATCTACCTGCAAAAGTGGATGTAACTTTCTAATTCATCTTAGTGCTCGCCTGAAATAAACAGAAAGCAGAACACAAACAACCCCCCCACACCTCGACTTCTACGGAAACTTCCCCCCCACTCTAAAAAAAATTTGGTAGTTCTAAACCAGACTCTTTCTTTATGTATTGCTCCACAGACGTACCTCAGGCAGGGTCGGCTCTCTGGGTTGTTAAAGACCGTTCCCTAACCGTGTCTGCTCACGTGAACCAGCTGTTCGGCTTTCCCTGGTGAATGTGGCTAGATACTCGTGTGTGCGGGTGGTCGGGTGGCTGTGGCATTGCTCAGGGTGGCACCGCCAGCAAACTTTATTGAGATTGAAACAACTACATTTGTTAATTCCTAGTAGATCTATTTACACATGGTTTGAGCTTTGCAGGGGACTGGAGTACAGTTCGGAAATGCCCGCCTTTTTTCGCTTTCTGATGATGCCTGTTTTATTTTGGGAATGTCTACTTTGGGAGTCTGACGGGGGAACACGAGGGACATGGTTACATTTTACAGCATTGATGAAGGTATGAATCTGATATACAATTACTTTGTCTTCGCATCAAAAACATGCTCTCGCTGTAAGCGCTATGACCAGCCAGCCTCCACCATGGGGAGTGTCTTACCGACAGCCTCGTGCTACCGCGGCCCCGGACAGGTAAGGACAGACCCGACCCTTCTATGTGGGAAGGCTCACGAGCCAGGAGCGGCGCGCGGAACTTTGGTTTGAGCCTGGCTCCTCGTCGCCTCTTCCCGGTACAGAGCCGGGAGTGAAAGAGCGCAGCTCGTTTTCCCAAGGATTTGAGCAGTTCATCTTCCAGCCCAAAGAAGACGGAGGATAAACCCTTCACCCTGTAGATGCTCTGCCCCGCAGCACCCAAACTAAGAGGAGCGTTGTACTCCCTGGGGTCGCTCTGTCCGCAGACGGATGACGTGGTGCGCTCTGGTGACTCGTTCTTCACTGTTAAGCCGTTGACCAAATTCACACTCTTTGGTAGGCCAGGACTAAACGCTTGAATTGGTGGCAGACATTTGGCACTCTGAGGTGTACTAGTTTCTGTTTTTGTCAGGTCTAAATAGCCTTGATCATCAAACAGGTTAACGCTGGATCCTGTGCTTAAGCTAGTTCTGTCGGTGAAGGAATCCACTCGTCCATCATACCCTAGGTCTGCGGGTGCTGAGCACTGGTGCTGGGGCCACGGTCGTTTGCAGTCTCCATGGTTTTCCTTATCTTCCCCGCTGTCTTCTTGCCCACCTTGAAAAGAGTTCTCCGTCCAGTCCGACTCCTCGCTAACATTGACTGCTGCGTTCATGTCCCTGAGAAATACCACGATGACAGTAATGTTGTCGCTGGAACCGGCATCCCGAGCGGATGCCACTAATTTATGTGCTACCATGCTGCTGTCGCCATTATTCTCCTTTAGATGGTCAGCCACCACTTTGACTGCCTCATCGGGATTGACTGTGTCATAGAAGCCATCGCAGGCTAAAATGAGGTAGTCTTCAGAGCCATCTAGTACAGTGGAGGCAGAGTCTGCATCCCCACAGATATATGGCTTGTGCTCAGCGTCCCCTGTGGAAAAACAACACACAGACACGCGAGACTGTGGGTTTGCAGCCACAGCATCTGGAAGCTCTGTTATTAACACAGCATGGAGCCAGCGACTCCTACCCCAAGTTAAGGCAATTATTTGGAAATTATTCCCTCAAACTGCAGAGGAAAAAAGCAGAGGTTATCACTCATGGGTCCACCTTCAGCTGTATTTCAAATTTTGATCACAAGAACATTTCAGTTTTTATTAGAAAGAAAAGCAAGTCTGAAAAAAGAATTAAAGCCCACTCTTACCAATAGCTCTGGAGACTGACAGGCTCCCGTTCACCCTCCAGGCTCCAAACCAGACCACACAGCCACCAAGTGCCTCGATGCGCTTCTTCTCATCCTAAACAGCGAGGGAACACAAGGGTTGTGTGGCCAGAGCGTTCAGCACTGCCATCGCACCCTCAACACTCCAACAAACATTTGGTGCTTTCACAAACCCAGCATGGCGGAGGCTGCAGGCCCCAACAGATGAGAACAAAGGATTTGCACACAAATCCATACACACTTCCCAACAAACCAGGGTAACGGGAACACAAGCTGCTGCTCCGAGAGACACTGGCAAGGCAACACGCACTGTCCCAGCATCCCACAGGCAGCTGATGCCGCTCAGCTTCGGTGGTATTTAAAACCGGGTGTAGTTAAGACAGGCCGTTCTCACCTCTCGATCTGGTTTGTGGGGTTTCATCAGTTCCACAGCTTGGCCTCTCCTCACAAGCATAACCTGGGAGTCCCCAAGCCAAGCCACATGCAGCATATTTCCTCGGATGAAAGTCACCACCCCGGTGGTTCCACAACGCAGACTCTGGAGAGGGTGAAAAAAACACGCCCCCAGTTTTAAATAAGCAAACGAGAACCATTTCAAAGCGTTTTCTTGCTTAAGGCGAGGACAGAACATGTCGCTACTCCGACACACAGCCTGTTCCCGGGGAGGGACAGGCAGCGCTTTCCTTACGGCTACGACTGCTCAGTCACAGCCCCTCAGAGCCTTCCCGGCTGAACACAAGTGTGTTCGACTTTGCCCCGTGACTTCCCTTGCCTTGGAATCGCCCTTCAGAAGCCGGGCCTTGCTAGGGATCTGCTGCGCTCCTGTTCTAGTGACTTCCCGTGCCTGGTTCCTATCTGGTGACAGAAACGCCTGCACATTAACCATCTCGGAGGGAGGGTTATTCGTAAACGTCTTGAGCTCCCTGCGCTTAACTCAGCCCTTGTGCAAGCTCAGGAGGCCTAGGAGTCAGTTGTCCACTTATTCTTGCTTTCTGGAGCCAAGAAAATCATATGTTGTAGAGACAAGGAAAAAAGAACCCACCCCAAGGACTAAACCTAGTTGGCATGGGAATGCAAGAATAGCAGCATCCTCCTTCTACATGAACTGGACGTTGTGAGAAGTGGAGGCTGACACCTGTATGGGGCCTGAAGAAGCCCACCAGTGAGCACCGGTGCTATGGATGGCACGGACAGCTCTGTGCTGAGCCCCGGCCTGTGCTCAGCCCGGCACTTGGAGCACCCCTGCTAGCAAAGACAGAATTTAGAGATTCACTTTTGGAGTCAAGCCCAGGTAACTCAATCACCTCTCTGGCTGCCTTCTGGACAAAGCGCTCGTCGGTCACCCGGAAAGCTCGGCACAGCGCTTCTGCCGGGTCATGCTGAAACATCTCCTGATGGACCATGTTCACGTGGAGGTGGATGGAGGCGTAGATGGCAGCATCTACTCCCCCATGACCATCAAACACTGCAAAATAAGCTTGCTCTTCTTGGTCCTGTCAATGGAAACACATTGAGAAAACAACTCAGGAGAAAGAAACACAAACAGCCAATGGGAATGTCTTAAAACTTTTGAACTTGCGATTTGTGGCATCCTCGTTAAATCGCACTTAGAGGCGGAGTTTCTACTGGAAAAACAAACTACTCGGACCACCTTCACTTACATCAGTGGGAAATTTCCACCTTATTGCTGATGAATTCCACCTGCAAACTGCAAAAGATGCCCTGCAAGGATCACCCATGTAGCGCTCTCAGTGCTCCTTATGTCCCATTTGTTACAACTCAGACACTCAACTCAAATAGAAAGTGCCATTCTCATCAAATCATGCAGGAGTTTTTGTGACTGCAAAAACCACAGAGAGGGAAGAACATCCAATACAGTTTGCATGAAGTCTACATCAAGACTGGAATCCACCAGGGACAGAGTGCCAGTACAGTTAAAATGTGAAGCCAGCCAGCCTCTGCTTTCGTTGTTCTTTCTTTTTTTTATTTTTTAAATCTACTTCGTATCACCTTAAATGCCTGTCTTTTTAAAAAAACCTGTATGTACTCTCTCACAAGATAATTGTGATTACATTCACAAATCAAATACAGCAAAATCACTCATCTTCAAGTCAGTTTTCTCAGCTTCCCCTTATCTGTTCACAGAGAAACAATGCGGTACCAAGAGACAGCAGCTCCTGTGCCTATTTACACACAGAACACCCCAACCCACTGTCAGTGCCAATTCAACCTTGACAGCCATCTCAGCGACTAGAATATTTGCACATTGTAATTTTAAAGTAATGGGCTCCAACACAAATTGGAATAAGAAAGCTGACAATTGACAGGAGAAGGAAACATTTGCCTCTGTTTGCATTAATATCATTTAAAGGCAAGAATGTGGTTGGGGCAGAAGGTGGTTATTAAAGTGATGCAATAAAGAATCAATTATGCAGCAATTTGATCCTAAAGGTAAGATTTTTGCCACTTTCTTCTATTTACTATTCTTCAGTGTCCAGTTTTATATCTGAAGGAAGAGCAAGCGTGAGTGTTTGACTGATGGTCACATAAAGAAATTAATGGAGGGAAGTCTGGCTCCATTTGCACCAAACTACTCGTGTTGATAGATTCTTGTGTGAACTGCACCCCATTCTCCTATAAT